CCTGCTCGGTTCCTCAGCCAGCGGGGCCCACCGGTACCGGCACGTCCTCCCGTCCCTCGGGGCACCCCCGTCAGTCCTTTCGGTTTCTTTTTGGGAGCCTGGGCTGCGCCTAGTGTAAAAGATCTGGTTTGGGCCGGAATCGCCACGGCTTAAAGGCATTTTAGCAGCTGAGGGGGGCCCCTGAGCTGAGGAGCCTCTTGCAGGCAGTTAGAGAATCATAGAATAGTCTAGGTTGGAAAAGACCTTGAAGATCATCGAGTCCAACCATTGACCTAACACTGCCAAGTCTGCCACTAACCCACGTCCCTCAGCACCACATCTGCCCCTCTGTTAAACACCCCCAGGGATGGAGACTCCACTGCTGCCCTGGGCAGCCTGTGCCAGTGCTGGACAACCCTTTGGGTGAAGAGATGTTCCCCAATATCCAATCTAAACCTCCCCTGGTGCAACTTGAGGCCGTTCCCTCTCGTCCCATCGCCTGTTCCTGGGGAGCAGAGACTGCCCCCCCCTCGCTGCCCCCTCCTTTCAGGGCGCTGTAGAGAGCGAGAAGGTCTCCCCTCAGCCTCCTCTTCTCCAGGCTGAACACCCCCAGGGCCCTCAGCCACCCCTCACCAGACGTGTCCTCCAGACCCCTCACAGCTCCATTGCCCTTCTCTGGACACGCATGTCAATGTCTTCCTACTGACAAGTCTTGTTACTAACAGCCTTGAAGGGATAGCAGTACCAGGGAGTGACTTCTGAAAAGCTTTCTGAAGTGTACTGCTGTCAGCAGTTTGAGGGAAGGCATAGCGCATAAACTCTTATTTTTTTTCCTTTGATATAGGCAGATCCCTTTCATTTGCCCAAGTGAAAAGCTTAGCCGCTGCTGAAGCATCAGAAATCTGTGGCTTGATGCAGTATGGGCTGATGATGTGGAGGATACTACAGCAATATTCCTTTTTGGTTTGCCCCCAATCGTTTCACATAACCTCCTTGCGAAACTTTCTGTATGATTTTAACCCCTTGCCCATTGTAACCACAAACACTAGTATTTTTGGCATTGTTTCCCTTGGCTCTAGACGTTAAGTTGCTTAATGAGAAGGATGTGAGTGTCTGGCTGCTTGATTTTTCTTGGAAAGGGAAAGATTTAACACTCTTGTGAATGTTTCTTAAAGAAATTTGTTCTTGGGATTTGTTTAAAAACATTTTTTTTTTCCCCTCTGTTGTGGAAAGTAAGGCCCTTTATACACCCAGTGAACAGACGCGCTGGCTGTGTTGATCACTTAACCTGACACTCAGATGGAAATGTTTTCCGCGGATCAGCAGGCTGCTGCTGAGAACTTCAGAGACCTTCCTGGACGTGAGCCTTTTGGTGGGGAGAAAAGAGCCTGGTACAGCACCTGAGAGACGTGTAGGGTAACCTGGGGGGGGGATGAGGAGCAGACAAGCTAATGATGTGACCCATCTCCTTTATTTTTAAATGAAAGCTCTGCGGTGGGTTTCTGACACGTTCTCATCAGTTGTGCTGCCAGAGAGAGGACTGCAATAAGAAGAGTGTTGCAGTTTGCCTACAATGTGTTTCACTGTTACTAACGTGCGTTAAATCATACGGGTTTTAAGTAATCTCCTTTTTGATTATGTTAGTGTTCCCCCACTGTTTTGGCAGGA